AGGAAAAGGGGTTTAATTGGCTCATGGTTCTGCAGGCTGTAAAAAAGTATAGTAGCTTGGGGAAGTGGTAGGTAAGGCATCGTTGTATTTTGCATGGTGAGCAGGACATGAGCTTTTGGGAGGCAGGGAGAGAATAATAAGATTTGGCTGTGTGTCCCTCCAGAAGGTCATGTGGAATTGGAATCAGAAATGTGAACACTGGGGCCAGGTGGAAGGTAATTTAATCATGGAGGGCAGTGGGTGTTGGAAGGTGGGGATTGGGGAGAATGGGGGGATTATGGTAGGGGAGAGGGTGAAAAGTGGGCATTGGAGGAGGATCCCTCACAAACGGTTAAACACCACCTCCTTCATGTTTCCTCATGACAGTGAGTTCTCATGATGGTTTTGGAGCTGTAAGATGGAATGGATACTGATCTCCCGGGTTTTGGACTTGCACTGGGCCTGTGACCCCATTTGTGTTATTTTCCTGGCAAACGTCTACCTTTGGATTGAGAAACATCACCGGATGCCTGAACCATCATTGTAGCTTGAAAGAAAAGAACCCCTTTTTTAATTCAGGGACTCATAGGCAAAAGGAACTGAAGCCTTTTCTCAGGTGGGATGTTGAACTTTTTACACTTGAGTTAATGCTGAAATGACTGAAGACTTGGCAACTTTTGAAAAGGCATAATTGCATTTTACTCTGTGAGAAGGATATGATATTCAGGGGATCAGGGTCAGAATAATATGGTTTAGCTGTGTGTCCCTACATAAATTCATGCGTAATTGTAATCCCAAATGTTGCAGATGGGGCCTTCCGGGAGGTGATTTATTCATGGATGGGAGAGGGGTGGGGTCGGAAATAAACAGAGGTGGGGAGGAGTAGGCTGGATATAGGGTGGTGGGTAGTAGGAGGGGAGCAGCCTGCTGCAGAGGCAGAGGCTCATGGAAAACCTCTACTAGGGCAGTGTACCCATGGCTTTGCAGGCTTTAGCCCCCCACGGCTGCTCTCAAGCAACAGGTGTTGAGTGCCTGTTGCTTCTCCATGCTGAGGGTGTCAGCTGATGGTGGGTCTATGACTCTGGGGTCTGGTGGATGGTGGTATCCTTCGTGGGGGCTCCAAGTCTATATTTTCCTTCTGCACTGCCCTAGTAGAGATTTTCCAAGAGGCTCTGCCTCTGCCTCAGGCTTTTGCTTGGAAACAGTGGGGGGTGGATACGGGGTGGTGGGAGGATCCTTCACCAACAGTTAAGCACTATCTTCTTGATGCTGATCTCCTGATAGTGAGCTCTCATGAGATCTAGTTGTATGACAGGATATGGCACCGCTTTCCTCGCTCTGTCTTGCTTCTACTCCTGCCATATGAAACATTTCATTGCCGCTCGGCCTTCTGGTATGATTGGGAGGCTTCCTGAGTCCTCCTAGAAGCAGAAACCACTATGCCTTCTTTACAGCCTGAAGAACTGTGAGTCAATTAAACCTCTCTTCTTTATGTACAAACAGAAAATGAATGCTGCGAAATGAAGCTATGAGATGTCTGCTGGCCTTTTCCCCAATCTCTTGGCTATTAGTACTGGGTATTTTTCATGCAAATATTGGAGGCCTTCTTGATGTTTCCCCCTGACAATGGACTTTTCTTCTTTTACCACATTGCCAGGCCTTGACAAAGCTGACAATGTAGAAGCAGGTTCCGAATGGGGCAATGGCCAGAGGTTAGAGAGTTTGGAGAGCTTGGAAGAAGACAGGAAGATGAGGGAAAGTTTGGACCATTGCAGAGACGTGTTAAATGGTTGTGATTAAAAGGCTGACAGAAGGATGGACAGTGAAGGCCAGGCTTAGAAGGTCTCAGATGAAAATGAGGAATGTACTGGGAACAGGAACCAAGGCTTTTTTGTTTTGCTTTAGCAAAGTAAGTGGCTACACAGTGACCCTGCCCTGGAGATCTGTGAAACTTTGAACTTGAGGGTTTTGTATCTGGTGGAATGAACTCCTAAGCAGCTAAGCTCAGGCCGACGTCGAACACCCTACGTTCTTGTGTGTGATCAAAGAAATGACCCTAAGTTGGAACTCATATTGAAATGAGAAGCAGAGCTTAAACCTTTGGAAAATTTGTAACCTGGACAAGTGGTCCAAAGGAAAAGCTGGTTTTCAGGGGGAAGATCTAGAAGGCTTCACGTATTTGTATGAGAAGGAGCCCAGTGCTAATAGTTCAAGACAAATGGGGAAAACGGCCTTGAAGGCCTCTCAGAGACCTTTGTAGCAGCCCTTACTGTCATTGGCCCTGGGGCTTAAGAGAAAAGAATGGTTTCCTGGGCCAGCCCCATGGCCCCACTGCTGTGTGCAGCCTCAGGACACTGCTGCCTTTATCCCTGCAGCTCCAGCTCCAGCCATGCCTGAAAGATGCACAGGTACAGCTTGTGTCACTGCTTCAGGGGTGCAAGCTCCAAGCCTTGGTGGCTTCCACATAGCGTTAAGCCAGCAGGTGCATAGAGCACAAGATTAGAGGCTTCAGAGCCTTCGCCTGGGCTCCAGAGGATGTATCAGAAAGCCTGGGTGTCCAGCCAGAAGCTTTTCCAAGAGGCAGAGCCTCGTGAGAAACCTCTACTCGGGCAGCGCAGAAGGGAGAGTACAGGGTTGGAGCCTCCATACCCATTCAGGGAGGCAGCCTTTCCAGGCCCCAGATTCATAGACCCACCAACTGCTTGCACCCTTAGTGTTGAAAAGCTACAAGTATTCAACACCAGCCCAACCCACGAGGGCAGCTGGAGGGGAAAGATTCTGCAATGCCACAGGTGCAGAGCTTCCCAAGGCCTTGGGATACCAGCTATCACACCACCCTGTGCTCCGGATGTGGACATAGATTCCCAAAAGATGATTTGGAGCTGTAGGATGGAATGAGTGGCCTGCTGGGGTTTTGACTTGCATGATATCTGTAAGTCCCATCTGTATTTTGTGCTGCTTTCTGGCAAATTTCTTCTTTTTGGCTTGGAATGCTTACCCAATGCCTGTACAATCTTTCTACTTTAGAATGAGTTAACTTGCGTTGTATTTCAGAGACTTAGGGGCAGCAGGGATGGCAGCCTTATCTCAGAAGAGACTTTGGGCTTTTGACATTTCAGTAAATGCTGGAATGAGTTAAGCCCTTGGGGGAACGTTGAGAATGCAAAGCTGTATTTTGCAGTATGAGAAGGACGTGAAATTGGGGGACAAAGGGGAGAATAATATGATTGGGCTCTGTCTCCCTACCAAAACTCTTGTGGAATTGTAACGGGGAATGTTAAATGTGGGGCTCTGTAGAAGGTGATTTAATCATGGTGGACAATGGAGGTTGGAAGTGGGAGTGTGGGAGAATGGGGTTTCATGGCGCGGGTGGGGGTGGAACGTGGGGATGGGCGGCAGATCCTTCATAAGTGGTTAAACGGTATCTCCTTAATGCAGTCTGTGTGATAGTGAGTTCTCATGAAAAATGATTGCTGTCCTGCAGAGTTCTGGACTCGCATTGGGCCTGTGTCCCAGTTGTGTTATTATTCTGGGAAAATCTTCTCTTTGGGTTGAGAAACCTCACCCAGTGCCTGTACCATCACTGTAACTTGAAAGAAAAGAACTCCCTTTTACATTCAGAGACTCATAGGCAGAAGGGATTGCAGCCTTGTCTTGGATGAGACTTGAACTTATTACAGGGATTACAGGCAGGTGCTAGCATGCCCGGCTAATTTTTGTAATCCCAGCTTCCTCTGAGGCTGAGGGAGGAGAATTGTTTGGACCTGGGAGACACAGGTTGCAGTGAGCCAAGACTGTGCCACTGGACACCAGCCTGGGCAAAGAAGCGAGACTCTGAACCAAGAAAAAAAAGAAAATATATAAAATGAAGTCCCTATAAAATTAAAACATACTTTTCATCTGAATATATGTATATACATATGTATAATATAGTTAATATTTTTCAAGTAAACTCTCTTTTGTTTTGTTAATTTTTTTCCTGAAATACAGGCAGTTTTAATTTTTAGTTGGCTAAATCAACCTTCAGGATGTCTGCTTATGAGGTCATTCTTAGGAAAAGCTTTGTCAACATAAAATGTACCTGTAAACTAAGCATTTGTGTTTTTGCTATCTAGAAAAGCAAATGTTTTTCCACTCCATTATGAGATTCCTAAAACTGTCATCACAATAGTGAAAGACAGCAGGTGTCATACAAAAATGTTAAAACTTTGGTATTTTCATTCGGTCTATGTAAAATTGATAAACACAGAAAGAGATCACATTTTGAGAAAAATGTGCCTTTCCATTCAAGAACACAGAACCCACCTCCCACTTCCAAGTAAAGAACCTACCTACACAGGTGGAAACAGATAGGCTGAGATGGTGCAGCAGTTGTTTTTTAAAGTAAAAACCTGTGTATTCTAGAGTTGTAACAGTCAAGTCAGAAGTATTAATAAGATGCACGTAATTATTGGCATATAGTGAAAAATATCACCACGAACAATCAGGTAGACCAGCAACTATTTGGACTGAGTAACATAAAGAAGAGCATATAGTAGGATTCATCTTTTCGTGTAATATACAGTGTTGGTGACTTATAATCTGATGTTTTTGGTAATGTAAGCTTTTATTAGCTAAAGGGTTTTGTATGAGTTTTATCCATTTTTTTGTTTTTCCTTTCTTGAGACGGAGTCTCACTCCGTTGGCAGCCTGGAGTGCGGTGGTGTGATCTTGGCTCACTGCAACCTCCACCTCCCAGGTTCAAGCGATTCTCCTGCCTCAGTCTCCCACGTAGCTGGGACTACAGATGTGTACCACCGCGGCAAGCTGATTTGTCTATTTTTAGTAGAGATGGGATTTCACCGTGTTGGCCAGGGTGGTCTCAATCTCTTGATCTCTTGTTCTGGTCTCCCTGCCTTCCCAAGGTGCTGGGATTACAGGTATATGCCACTGCACTTGGCCAGTTGTATTAATTTTTAAAGTGTTACCTTTTAGTTTATGACTACTAATATTGTCATTATGACTGTTGTTGTTATTTTCAGCCTGCAGATAACTCTTATCTGACCCTCAGGTGATGTGAATATATCAGACTAGGAAAGCAACGGTGAAATCTTTGCAACTCTCCCATCTTAAACATCAGGTGAGAGTTCATAGTTTGGTTCCGGTAGTTTGAAATAGCAATGAGTTAGTCTACCTATTAGTCAGAAAGCTGGTGATCTCTGAAATAAGAGCAGAGCTGAGTAACAAGGGGATGTTACATGTTGTTGGTCCACGTCTTGGAAATGGGAAAACGTCCACTTGCCTTGCCTTCATGGAACTGAAAAACAATAAAAGCAGGGTTTCGTCTTGTCTGTTAGTTGGAGAGGACCAAGGAGATCCAGCATCCTAGCCCGGATCTGATGGCCCAGAGTGTGAGGAGGTAGAGAAAGATTCGTAGTTGTTCCAGCCAGGTTTTGATACCTGGTAGTGTTCTGCCCTTGGTGTGATTGATGGGCTCAGTTATAGGAGACAATTTGGTAATCTATTTTAATGAGATTTTATACATATATATTTAATATAAAAATATATACAAACATGTATATTATATTAATATATATCATATATTTATGTATTAATATAACATTTACATATGAATTAATGAATATTAATATAGTAATACATATTTATATATAATAGATAATATGTAATACATGATGTAATATATATAATATACAATGTAATATATAACAAGCAATATATAACATATATTTCCATATGAATATATATTTACATATAATATGTAATATGTTATATATAATTATATATTATATAAAATATATTGTATATATTATATATCATGTTATATATTACGTTAATATTGTATATGTTAATAATATATATTATTTTGTCTTGTCTGTTAGTTGGAGTTGATATATATTATATATAGTATACAGTATAGAATATATAATATATATTTTATATTATATATTTAAAATATTAATATTTAATATTGACATATATTCATATTTAATATCTAATTAATCTTTTTTATATATATATATTCAAAACACCTGAGATGAGATTTTCTGTTCAGTTGAGAAATATGTAATTTTGTGAATTATTAATTTTTTCTCCTGTTTAATGGATAATACCACCCCACTTTTATTCGCTGAGGTTTGCAAGACAGAGAAAATGGTGGAATTTTTATTGAAAAAGCCCAGACACATGCCGTTGATAGGCTGAGATGGTACAGCAGTTCTTTTTTAAAGTAAAAACCTGTGCATTCTAGAGTTGTAACAGTCAAGTCAGATGTATTAATAAGATGTACGTAATTATTGGCATAGAGTGAAAAATATCACCACGAACAATCAGGTAGACCAGCAAGTATTTGGACTGAGTAACATAAAGAAGAGCATAGAGTAGGATATATTTTTTCGTGTAATATAGAGTGTTTGTTGTTGTAATCTGATGTTTTTGGTACTGTAAGCTTTTATTAGCTAAAGGGTTTTGTATGAGTTTTATCAATTTTTGGTTTTTCCTTTCTTGAGACAGTCTCACTCCGTTGGCAGCCTGGAGTGCGGTGGTGTGATCTCGGTTCACTGCAACCTCCACCTCCCAGGTTCAAGCGATTCTCCTGCCTCAGTCTCCCACGTAGCTGGGACTACAGATGTGTACCACCGCGGCAAGCTGATTTGTCTATTTTTAGTAGAGATGGGATTTCACCGTGTTGGCCAGGGTGGTCTCAATCTCTTGATCTCTTGTTCTGGTCTCCCTGCCTTCCCAAGGTGCTGGGATTACAGGTAAAAGCCGCTGCACTTGGCCAGTTGTATTAATTTTTAAAGCGTTAACTTTTAGTTTATGACTACTAATATTGTCATTATGACTGTTGTTGTTGTTGTTTTCAGCCTGCAGATAACTCTTATCTGACCCCTAGGTGATTTGAATATATCAGACCAGGAAAGCAATGGTGAAATCTTCCTCTAAATCATTGCCTACTTTAGATAAGCGACCTCAGCACAGTTTCTGGGCCATCAAAGAACTCTCAGTTAGCATCTTGTATTATGTCATACCCCAGTGGGGCAAGAGGATTCCTTGTGGTCCCTTCCTTTTAGCCTTGGTGATCATTTACAAAGATGAACACTTGAGCACCCTAGATGCTTTTCGACCCAAACTAGCCAGTCCATGCAAATGGCTATTCCGCCTACACTGACAGGCATATGTTAAAACAGTCAAGTGTGTCAAACTAGCTGTTTAAAAAAGTCTTTATTAAAGTTCTTGAGTGGAGTGATTTGTTATTTTGGAAGAGCCCTCAAGCTTGCTGTGCGCTATGACTCGCCACGTGTTGTCAACCTCCTTCTTAAGCAAAATGTTAACAACTCTACTCAAGACATGTCTGGATGAGAGGCCGAAGATTACACTCCTGTGCGTTGACAAAGTAAGTGTTTATGTTAAAAGACCAGTTAATACTAAATTGAAGTTGAAAATAATTGCAACTATTCCATCTTAAACATCAGGTGAGATATCATAGTTTGGTTCAGGTACTTTGAAATAGCAATGAGTTAGTCTACCTGTTAGCCAGAAAGCTGGTGATCTCTGACATGAGAGCAGAACTGAGTAACAAGGGGACGTTACATGTTGTTGGTCCATGTCTTGGAAATGGGAAAATGTGAACTTGCCTTGCCTTCATGGAACTGAAAAACAATTAAAGTAGGGTGCATACCATCACATGCCGGGCTAATGTCTTGATGGTTACTTTTATAGAGACAGAGTCTCATTCAGTTGCCCGGGCTGGTCTCAAACTCCTAGGGTGAAGGAATAAAATTGGGGGGTATGGCCCATTAAAACGAAGAAAAAAATTAATAATTCACAAAATTACATATTTCTCAACTGAATCGAAAATTTTATCTAAGGAACTTTGAATCCATATATAACAATATATATTATAGATTATGTATTAAATATTAATATTTGTCTGTTAGTCTTGTCTGTTAGTTGGAGAGGACCAAGCAGATCCAGCATCCTAGCCCGGATCTGATGGCCCAGAGTGTGAGGAGGTAGAGAAGAAGTCGTAGATGTTCGAGCCAGGTTTTGATACCTGTTAGTGTTCTGCTCTTGGTGTGATTGATGGGCTCAGTGATGGGAGACAACTTGGTGATGTATTTTAATGAGATTTTATACATATATATTTCATATATAAATTAATATATACAAATATGTATATTATGTTAATATATATATGTATTAATATATTTACATATTAATTAATAAATAATATAGTAATACATATAATAGATAATATGTAATACTATATAATGTATGAAGTAAACAGTAATGTAATATAAAAAATATATTCATATTTTAATATATATTAGCATATTATATGTAATATATTGTAATTATATCTAATTATAGATTGTATAAAGTATATATGTTATATATTATATATCATTGTTATATAATATATAAATATTGTATACGTTAATATACATTATTTTGTCTTGTCAGTTGGAGTTGTTATATATTATATAGTGTACAGCACATAATATATAATATGTAATTGTGTATTACATTTAAAATATATTATTTAATGTTAATATATATTTATATTTAATATATAATTAATCTTTTATATATATTCAAAGAACTTCAGATGAGATTTTCTGTTCAGTTGAGAAATATGTAATTTTGTGAATTATTAATTTTTATCTACTGTTTAATGGACAATACCACCCCACTTTTATTCGCTGTGATTTGCAAGACAGAGAAAATGGTGGAATTTTTACTGAAAAAGCCAACACAAACGCCGTTGATAGGCTGAGATGGTAGAGCAGTTTTTTTCAAATAAAAACCTGTGTATTCTAGAGTTGTAACAGTCAAGTCAGAGGTACTAATAAGACGCACGTAATTATTGCCATATAGTGAAAAATATCACCACGAACAGTCAGGTAGAGCAGCAACTATTTGGACTGAGTAACGTAAAGCACAGCACACAGTAAAGTTCACATTTTCGTGTATTATAGAGTGTTTGTTCTTACAATCTGATGTTTTGGTACTGTAAGCTTTTCTTAGCTAAAAGGTTTTGTATGAGTTTTATCAATTTTTTTTTTCCCTTTCTTGAGTCGGAGTCTCACTGGGTTGCCAGTCTGGAGTGCAGTGGTGTGATCTCGGCTCACTGCAACCTCCACCTCCCAGGTTCAAGTGATTCTCCTGCCTCAGTCTCCCACATAGCTGGGACTACAGATGTGTACCACCGCGGCAAGCTGATTTGTCTATTTTTAGTAGAGATGGGATTTCACTGTGTTGGCCAGGGTGGTCTCTAACTCTTGATCTCGCGATCTGGTCTCCTTGATTTCTTAATGTCTATTGTTAACATATCATGACATATAATATATAATATATTTTAATCATATATAATATATAATTAAATATTATATATTATATATTAATATATTACATAATATATACTAATATTAAAATATTGTATATATTAATACTACACATTATATTGTCTTGTCAGTTGGAGTTATATAATATGAAAGTATAGAGAATAAAATATAAAAAATATATTTACATATATATTTAATATCAATTAGTATGTAATATTAATATTAATATTTAATACATAATTAATCTATAATAGATATATATGGATTCAAAGTTTCTTAGATAAGATTTTCGGTTCAGATGAGAAATATGTAATTTTGTGAATTATTAATTTTTTTCTTCGTTTTAATGGGCCATACCTCCCCAATTTTATTCCTTCACCTTAGGAGTTTGAGACCAGCCCGGGCAATTGAATGAGACTCTGTCTCTACAAAAGTAACCATCAAGACGTTAGCCCAGCATGTGATGGTATGCACCTTGTAGTTCCAGCTGTTCAGGAAGTTGAGGTGAGAATATTGCTTGAGGTCAGGATCTTGAGGCGGTAGTGAGCCATAATCATGCCACTGCATTCTAGCTCTGGGTTGACAGAGTGAGACCCAGTTTCATAAAAAGAGATTCATAAGACACTTTTGATGCGACTCATTATAATTTGTAAAGTGGAAACTCATTCTTGATATTACCTTAGCAGCGTGTCCCCGAGAAAGTGTCGGAGTCTTTACCTCGACCTTCCCGTGAAAAAGGTAATAGGGTAGTCAACGGAAAAGGAGAAGGTGAGAACCGTATTTTATTGAAAAAGTCATTGGACGGAACGCTTCTTTTCAAATAGGAGTACCAAGATAGTCTAATAGCTAAATAAAATGTCCTGTTAACTGTATAATAAGTAAAGGAGAAGTCAAATGGTGATAAGTTGTGTCTCTAACTAAGGGTCCGCAGTTGATGCTATTGCGAGTACCACTAAAGGAGCTGAGTTATGAGTTCCATTTTAAGATACTCTAAGACCTGAGGCAAGTCAATAAAGAGGGGAGAGGAAATGAATAAAACAGAAAGAAAGCATGAGGAGGGCGGAGGAGTGTACATGGAATCAATAAAAAAAAAAAAAATGTGGGTGTATGTAATGGAGGATAGTAAAGTCAAACTGTTCGGTAGAAGAAGGAAGAACAGGGTGTTAGAAATAGGAAGGGAGATAAAGGGAGCTTCCAATAGGAAAACGTGTCAGAGAATGAGAGTGACATGTTCCTCCTCTTGCTGTCATCCTCACTCCTGGGGAGGCATTAAGGATTGAGGTACTTTACCACACATTTACCACAGATGAGTATCACCAAAAATGGTCAGCCACGTGTGGCTAGAACTTAGTTTTGTAGAAAACGTTGTAACCTCACAGGATAGTATCATATAGGTCGAATTAACATAATTGAAAGGAATAGTGTTGGGTGATGGATGGAGAAGAAATCAATTAGAAAAGGTCCTGCCTGATGAAAAGTTCATGAGGAACACTATGGCTTATAATGTACTATTAAATTCAGGGATACAATAGGGAAGAAACTGAGGCTAAACCAAAAAGGGCAACTAGGGTAAAAAAAATACGGAAGCACATCGGTAGAGAACAGGCCATTCAAATTTTCATGAATCAGTTGAGGAACTTCTGGAAAATACACACTCTGATCGATTCTGCATTTCTCATGAGTACTCAGGTGCTGTTGGTGGTGCTGGTCCTTAGACACAGCTCTGAAGAGCAAGGGAATAGCCTTCCTTTAGAGAAATGTGGAAAAACCACCATTGGACCGCAATTTACAAAACAACAGAATCAAGGGCAAGCATGAATTTCCTTTTATTTCTGAGCATAATTCAAGCCACAGGGAAAGAGTATGAGATGAAAAAACAGAAATTATGGGTAGACACCACTGCTGAATACAGACGAAAAAAGTGGTTACAATTATCCATAGAAAAAGCAGTTCGGAAGGGAAGCATCGGGACAACAGATCTGAAGATTCCTTTTTCAAAGGAAGAGCGATTGTGGAAGGAGAATGAGGGAGGAAAGAAAGACATTCGCTGCAGTCTTGGGAGTTAAAGCGAAGTCAACCTGAGACAACTGATTTCTAGTTGCTTCAGCATATGCCCAGTCTCACAAAAGAGGTTACTGCTGTGGAGAGTACTGGAGGCAGGAGGGATGCTAGAATTGGGGTAAACCACTGCAGCCCATTTCACTTCATAAGTGTCAGGCCTCAGACAGAGAAGTCTCATTGACATGAGTGAAAAAGATGTGATTAAGTTGCGTAAAGATGCTTCGGCCAATGTGTTTGAGACAGCCAGCTCTTTGATATGATAGGTGTTTTATAAAAATCCTGTGCAGTGTCAGATGATATACCAACCTTAGCTAAATTTAGAAGCGACCACATTATAAAATTCATTCTGATTTATTATGCTTTGCATTTAGTAAATACACTGGGAAGTAACATTTCTTGTTGCATTAATTAAATACCACTAATTATGATTAATGTTTATTCTAATAAGGTCCCAGGTGAGCTCCCAAAGGAATGCTTTGTAACAAAGCGTCAGTCTTATGCTTTAAAAGACAAAACAAAACAAAACAAACAAGAACAAAAACAGGATCTAAAGCATACACACAGGTGTGCACAAGTTTTTTTCTTACTAAGGTAGAGTCTTGCTTTGTTTCCCAAGCTGGTCTCAAACTTCTGGGATCCTCGAGTGATCCTCCTGCCTCAGCCTCCTGAGTAGTTTGGATTACAGGCATGCATCACTGGGCCTTCTTATGCTTTTAATATTCTGTACCTTTATTATTGATTTAAAATGCATTTTGCCTGTTTCTTTAATAGATGTTGGAAGTTCTGATGAATCTGCAGTCAGGTAGGATTGTACAGATTTAAAAAATTATGTTAACCAAGGAAATATAGGTGGAAGGAACTAACATCTGTTGAGTGTTGTATTCGGGGTAGACATCCTATTGCACTTATCGTCTCATAAAGCCATCACGACATCTGTGTTCCTATCAACTACTGTTTGTTTAAAAAACGAGTATGGGTTGGAGCAGTGGATTAATTGGCTCATGATCCTCTAGTTAACAAAGCAGCTGACCCACTTTGATTGTCAGCCTGCCTGCCTTCCAAATCCCTTCTCTTGTTCCTCAGCATAGGTTGATAGACATCCATGTAGCACTTGGAACATGGTATACATCTGAAGCAGCTTAATTAAATTCATTAATTTAATTAACATCTAAATTAATGAGAGTTTAAATACCTTCAACACCCATTTAAGGTTATCGTTAGAAGGTGGTCAGTCCAGAGTCTGTCATCATAAATTTGACAATTTCAGTGGGAACCGGGATCTTCTTTTTGCCATCAGAAGTTTTAGGGCTGATCTTACTTAGCTTTGGCCACAAGACTGTAAGTTTTACAAAAGCAAGTTTAGGCAAGTCTTAGAAAGTATTTGATTTCTCAGTTTTGCTTTCATTTAGGCTAGTATTTCTGCTTACTTCCATCATACTTTTGGTAGTCTTGTTTATTTTTCCATGAATTTTCTATAATCGTGTCTTGAGGTTTTTAAAACGTTCTTCTCTGTTTTTTTTTTTTTTTGTCTTTGTTATTTCTTTAATTCTATTCGTTTTTCAAATTCTGCTGGCTATGTATTCCCAGAATCAGCAGCACATAGAATTACAGAATTTTAAGGAATCTTAGAATGAATTAAAACACGTTCTAGTATTGTCACGTCTGTTGAACATTCTGGTCAAGGGATCGTTTAGATAGAAAACTTGAGTCTCAGAAAGATTAGGATTCAAGAAGACATAGGAATTGGAAGAAATGAGATTTGTACTCATGTTAAATCCCAGTATTCTTCCTACTTTTTATATCCTATTGGCCTGAGTTTTGGTAATACAAACGGGAGTGAGTCTCGTGCACCCAGTGTCTAGAATGAGTGTGGAATTGACTAGTGAAGCCAATGAAAGCGGGTAAGAATGGAATGGGCAGGGCAAGGCCAAGTTTGAAGAGAAACAATGATCGATCGATAAATTCCAAAGATGACCGACACACAGAATGTTGGGAATTATCTACAAAGGCGCCTTAAAATAGAAGGTTCAAGGGAGCTCTAAAAACTTTGCTGCCTTTTTTTTTTTTAATTTATCAAGGACTGACAGATTTTTACTGAAAGATGTTAAAACATTTTGAGACACTGAAGGAGTGGCTACAGCAGAGAGAAATCTTCGTGGCACCATCTACTTCCATCCTGACTTACAGAAGGTGGTTTAGAGCCCCTGGAATACTAAGGGGCTGGAGATTGATGAACTCTACATAGCTCTGTGGCCCAGGACAGGTGGTCTCCTCACCTCTGCCTCTTTTCCTAATTCGCTGATGTTCCTTCCCTTGTTCATGTAGGCTGGGTCAGGGGCATGATTGGATGGCAAGTCAGTCATGGAGTTCAGCTGCGTAGCTGGTAGTGCGTCTGTGCTGGGGGAAGGTGATGGAGAGTCCAGTTAGCTTGTTTTTCAGGAGCAGGGATATAGACGGCTCGTATACTTGGTCATTTGAGGCCATCCTTTCAGGAATCGGTGCTTTCGGAGACTGAAGATTTGAAGGTTGGAGACTTCTGTAGAGTCTTGCAGAAGTGGAATCTGGAAGTTGGAGCCCATAGGAAGAAAGATATTGAGATGGTACTTAGGGAAATAGAGGCACAACTACCAGGACTCTATTTTTCCAGCATTCTCTTTCCTTGGGTATGAGTGCCTACGAACATTTTTGAGGGCTTGCTAGTTTATGTGGACCTGAATAAAGTAAGGGCTTATAGAGTGAAGATAATGGGATTTTATAATTGTTAACGTTTTAATCTTTCTGGCAGGAGTATTCTCAATAAGAACGTACACCTCTGCTCTTTGACTTTTGGACATTTAGCTTTCCTACATTTCAGCTATTGCAGGGGTTTCCCTGTACTGATTTAGGGAAAAGGAAACCAATAGGACCTTCCAGAGTGGTTTCCCTGCTGAGGAATCAAGACTGCCATTTTGAGGCAAAGCAGATTCGTCTTTTAACCATAGATAGATCATGGGCAAGGGACAGTGGATCTCTCTACCTTGTTTTAGGTCATCAGTTTTTTTCCAGATTAGGTAACACAATTGATGTCATCCGTTAAGTGAATTTTAAGCTCAGCTTCAGGTCGGATAATTTGTGAGGGTCAATTATTGTCAGGCTCTGCCAGTATATTGACCGTCACTACTGGCGATAGAGCTCAAGGTCAGTTTTCATTGAATATGTTACAGATTTAGACAGGTGGAGGCAGCGATAGGTAACCAGAATCTTTTACAGCAGGGGACATATTTTAATTATATCAAGAATCATTATTTAATACCTAGATCACTGGCCTTTCCCCAGATTGTTTTCCTTTTCTGAGGGGGAAGCTGGATAGAAACCAGCAGATAAAAACTGTAGAGAAATCAACTTGTACATTTTCATTGTACATGTTTGCTTTCAAGCCTGTTCCACGAACTGTGTGTGGATTCATTGCCTACATCACATCGGATGAAAAAGACTTGAGTGTAGCTACGAAGTTAAAGTGATCTCTTGTAAAATTAATTTTCTCACTCTGCATCTAGTTTTGCATAGTATTTACTTTTAAAAGGGAGCAGTGGTGTACTGTTTATCATAGTTTGACGGTGGTAATGGAAAGTCAGTCAGAGAAAAACACACATATGGCTAGTTGATTCAAATAATTATTTGTTTACCATTGGTAACGAACAAAGACTGAAAAGTACCGTGACAGGATGTGAGCTGAGAAAAATGAACTGGAAAGTTAAGTCGTGACAGGAAAATCCCATTAGGAAATGCTTTCCTCAATGGAGGAAACATGAAATTTGGTTAAGGTTTATTTGGATAAATACTAACACTTTGACTTTTCAATCATTTGAGGGTAACTATCATATTTATGCTCGTATAAATCTTCAGGGGATCAAATTATTTGCGCTAATCATGGAATCCCCCGGTACCTTTTAGTTGCAAAAACGTTGAACACATTGCCTATGACCTTTTTTTTTTTCCTTCCTGGAAACTTACAATTTTGGTATCATACAGTTTTTAGGAGAGATTGTTTCTCTAGTGATGTTATTGGTTCTGTTGTGAGACGAATATTACAAGTTGTAGAACAATGGCTGAGTGTGGTGGTGTAGATCTGTGTGATCCCTGCTACTTGGGAGTTTGAGGCAAGAAGATTGCTTGGGCCCAGGAGTTTGAGAGAAGCCTGGGCAACATAACAAGACTGTACCTGACTTAAAAATATAAATCATAGAAATGTGGAAATTTAAATTTTTGCTCTCAAAATTTGTACCGCAAAGGGATTTTTTTTGGTGTGTTTTGTAAGTTGTCCATGAAGAGTTTCCATGAAACACTTCATCTGTTGCTGCAAATAAACAGTTCTCGAAGCAGAGACTCTTAATACCAATATGGTAATACTTCACTGTCATAATTTTGTCATTGTAGTTTATCTAAACTATTGACTTGGCCGGGCCCCGTGGCTCAAGCCTATAATCCCAGCGCCGTGGGAGGCAGAGGTGGGGGATGACCCGAGGTCAGGAGTTTGAGATCAGCCTGGCCAGCATGGTGAAACCTTGCCTCTAAAAGAAGAAAAGACACAAAAATTAGCCGGGCAGGCTGGTGCATGCTTGTATTCCCAGCTGCTCAGGAGGCCGAGGCGGGAGAATCGCTTCAACTCGGGACGCAGAAGCTGCAGTGAGCCAAGATCACACTGTTGCACTCCAGCCAGGGTGACAGAGCAAGACTACATCTTAAAACATAAAATGACCACTCAAAGTCCATCTATCACATTCTGCAATTTTGGGTTTTGGAAGTTTTTAGGTTTCCTTGTTTAAAAAATCATTGAAAGCGCCTGCATACCATGGGCCACTGGAGGTCAGCAAACATATTTGTGTGTATCCTGGAGTACCTAGAACAGAGTCTTCCGCGTAAGCAGCATTTTAACGGCTGTTTTTTGAGAGGGGGATTCACTCTGTAACGCAGGCTGGAGTGAGGTGGCGAGACCTTGGCTCACTCCTATCTCCATTTCCTGGGCTCAGGTGATCCTCACACTTCAAGCCATCCAAGTCGTTTTGACCGTTGACCTGTGTCACCATGCTGGGCTGATTTCTGTAGTTTCTGTAGAGACGGGGTTTTGCCTTGTTGCCCAGGCTGGTCTTGAACTGTTGGGTGCAAGTGTTCTGTCGGCCTCAGCCTCTCAAAGTGCTGGGGTTTACAGGCGTGAGACATTCAGCCTTCATCGTTGCTTCATCTGAATAAATAGACAAATGAATTTTTCTCTCATGGAATGTGTCAAGTCATACACCTCATGTATCTAACGATTCAATATTTAAAATATTGCTTACATTTGTATTACATTTTAAAATTTAAGGATGTGTAAGTTTTGAGGTGTTATGTTGAGAAATTATGCCATCCATAAAAAGGAAATAAATTAGAAATAGGTCATCAGCAGCAAAGAGGATTGCAACGTATTCCCTAGTATCATTCAGCTAGAATCATGACGTTGTGATTGCAGATGAACATTTCATATACTTTTTATTAGCTCCAACACACGACACGTTCTATGAAATATACCTTTTCAAGCCATACATTACTCTTTAGAATTCTGGTGACCAATTATTTTTCTAGGTGGAAAGTTGAAAGTTCCAGGTTTCTCTCTCTCTTATAACAGTGTTCTTTCAGGTAGTGGTAGAGTACCATGTTTAAGTAACTGAATGTCTTATAGTAATAAACTCTATCACAGCACTACTTACAACATCTAATTGTAGCATAAATATTAAGTAGCATCATTAGGGACAGGAAAGACCAAAATGCTCTGTTAGGGATCTATTTCTCCACGTCCTTGATTGTACTTCATGGGGTTTCCTTTCTTTCTTGGCTTAAGCTCGCATTTCGTTCAATGGTTCTTTTTCCACATTTCTCTAAAGGAAGGCTATTCCCTTGCTCTTCAGAGCTGTGTCTAAGGACCAGCACCACCACCAGCACCTGAGTACTCATGAGAAATGCAGAATCGATCAGAGTGTGTATTTTCCAGAAGCTCCTCAACTCATTCAGGAAAATTTGAATGCCCTGTTCTACACCGATGTGCTTCCGTATTTGATTACCCTAGTTGCCCTTTTTGGTTTAGCCTCAGTTTCTTCCCTATTGTATCCCTGAATTTAATAGTACATTATAAGCCATAGTGTTCCTCATGAACTTGTCATCAGGCAGGACCTTCTCTAATTTGTTTCTTCTCCATCAGTCACCCAACACTATTCCTTTCAATTATGTTAATTTGACCTATATGATACTATCCCGTGAGGTTACAACGTTTTCTACAAAACTAAGTTCTAGCCATACGTGGCTGACCGTTTTTGGTGATACTCATCTACGGTAGATAAAACACAGGTCTGTGTGGTAAAGTACCTCAATCCTTAATGCCTCCCCAGGAGTGAGGATGACAGCAAGAGGAGGAACATGTCACTCTCGTTCTCTGACACATTTTGCTATTGGAAGCTCCCTTTATCTTCCTTCCTATTTCTGACACCCTGTTCTTCCTTCTTCTACAGAACAGTTTGACTTTACTACCCTCCATTACATACACCCACATTTTTTTTTTTTATTATTCCATGTACACTCCGCCCTCCTCATGCCTTCTTTCTGTTTTATTCATTTCCTCTCCCCTCTTTATTGACTTGCCTCAGGTCTTAGAGTATCTTAAAATGGAACTCGTAACTCAGCTCCTTTAGTGGTACTCGCAATAGCATCAACTGCGGACCCTTAGTTAGAGACACAACTTATCACCATTTGACTTCTCCTTTACTTATTATACAGTTAACAGGACATTTTATTTAGCTATTAGACTATCTTGGTACTCCTATTTGAAAAGAGGTGTTCCGTCCAATGACTTTTTCAATAAAATACGGTTCTCACCTTCTCCTTTTCCGTTGACTATTCTGTTCCCTTTTTCACGGGAAGGTCGAGGTAAAGGCTCCGACACTTTCTCGGGGACATGCTGCTAAGGTAATATCAAGAATGAGTTTCCACTTTACAAATTATAATGAGTCGCATCAAGAGTGTCTTATGAATCTCTTTTTATGAAACTGGTCTCACTCTGTCAACCCAGAGCTAGAATGCAGTGGCATGATTATGGCTCACTACCGCCTCAAGATCCTGACCTCAAGCAATATTCTCACCTCAACTTCCTGAACAGCTGGAACTACAAGGTGCATACCATCAACATGCCGGGCTAACGTCTTGATGGTTACTTTTGTAGAGACAGAGTCTCATTCAATTGCCCGGGCTGGTCTCAACCTCCTGGGCTGAAGGAAACCTTCCCCTTCTGCCTCCCAAAGTGTTGAGATAACCCGTGTGAAACACCACAGCCAGCACTCATCAATTCCTTTCAATAAACCTCAATGTTGCCCAGGCATGGTGGCTCACACCTGTAATCACAGCCCTTTGCCAGGCCAAGGTGGGTGGATTGCTTGACTTCGGGAATTTGAGACCAGCCTGGGCAGCATAATGAGAACACGTCTCTGCACAGAAATACAGGAAGGAGTCAGGCACGCTGGTGTGTGCCTGTATCCCAGCTGCTCGGGAGGCTGATGGGGGAGGATCACTTGAGCTTTGGAGGTGGAGACTGTAGTGAGCCGAGATCATGCCATTGTACTCCAGCCTGGGCAACAGAGCAAGACCCTGACTCCACAAAACTTTCCATTTACAACGTGAGAACGGAGGAAAATACAAAAAACAAGCCTAATCGGTCAACGAAATGCGAGCTTAAGCCAAGAAAGAAAGGAAACCCCATGAAGTACAATCAAGGATGTGGAGAAATAGATCCCTAACAGAGCATTTTGGTCTTTCCTGTCCCTAATGATACCACTTAATATTTACACTACAATTAGATGTTGTAAGTAGTGCTGTGACAGAGTTTATTACTCTAAGACATTCCATTACTTAAACATGGTCATCTACCACTACCTGAAAGAACACTATTATAAGAGAGAGAGAAAAACCTGGAACTTTCAACTTTCCACCTAGAAAAACATTAGTTTATTTATTGGTCACCAGAATTCTAAAGAATAATGTACGGCTTGAAAAGGTATATTTCATAGAACGTGAGTTGGAGCTAATAAAAAGTATAAGAAACGTTCACCTGCAATCACAACGTCATGATTCCAGCTGAATGATACTAGGGAATACGTTGCAATCCTCTTTGCTGCTGATGACCTATTTCTAATTTATTTCCTTTTTATGGATGGCATAATTTCTCAACATAACACCTCAAAACTTACACATCCTTAAATATTAAAATGTAATACAAAGGTAAGCAATATTTTAAATATTGAATCGTTAAGATACATGAGGCATATGACTTGGCACATTCCATGAGATAAAACTTCATTTGTCTATTTATTCAGATGAAACAACGATGAAGGCTGAGTGTCTCACGCCTGTAACCCCAGCACTTTGAGAGGCTGAGGCCGACAGAACACTTGCACCCAACAGTTCAAGACCAGCCTGGGCAACAAGGCAAAACCCCGTCTCTGCAGAAACTACAAAAATCAGCCCAGCATGGTGACACAGGTCTACGGTGGTCCCAACTACTTGGATGGCTGAGGTGTGAGGATCACCTGAGCCCAGGAAATGGAGATGGGAGTGAGCCAAGGTCTCACCACCGCACTCCAGCCTGCGTTACAGAGTGAATCCCCCTCTCAAAAAACAGCCGTTAAAATGCTGCTTACGCGGAAGACTGTGTTCTAGGTACTCCAGGATACACACAAATATGTTCGCTGACCTCCAGTGGCCCATGGTATGCAGGAGCTTCCAATGATTTTTTAAACAAGGAAACCTAAAAACTTCCAAAACCCAAAATTGCAGAATGTGATAGATGGACTTTGAGTGGTCATTTTATTTTTTAAGATGTGGTCTTGCACTGTCACCCTGGCAGGAGTGCAACGGTGTGATCTTGGCTCACTGCAACTTCCGCGTCCCGGGTTCAAGCGATTCTCCGGCCTCGGCCTCCTGAGCAGCTGGGAATACAAGCATGCGCCATCATGCCTGGCTAATTTTTCTGTTTCTTCTTCTTTTAGAGGCAAGGTTTCACCATGCTGGCCAGGCTGATCTCAAACTCCTGACCTCAGGTCATCCCCCACCTCGGCCTCCCACGGCGCTGGGATTATAGGCTTGAGCCACGGGGCCCAGCCAAGTCAATAGTTTAGATAAACTACAATGACAAAATTATGACGTTGAAGTCTTACCATATTGGTATTAAGAGTCTCTGCTTCGAGAACTGTTTATTTGCAGCAAACTATGAAGTGTTTCACGGAAACTCTTCATGGACAACTTACAAAACACACCAAAAAAAATCCCTTTGCGGTACAAATTTTGAGAGCAAAAATTTAAATTTCCACATTTCCACAATTTGTATTTTTAAGTCAGATACAGTCTTGTTATGTTGTCCAGGCTTCTCTCAAACGCCTGGGCCCAAGCAATCTTCTTGCCTCAAACTCCCAAGTAGCAGGGATCACAGGTCTACACCATCACACTCAGCGATTTTTCTACAACTTGTAATATTCCTCTCACGAAAGAACCAATAACATAAGTAGAGAAACAATCCCTCCTAAAAACTATATGATACCAAAATTGTAAGTTTCCAGGAAAGAAAAAAAAAAAGTCATAGGCAATGTGTTCAACGTTTTTGCAACTAAAAGGTACCGGGGGATTCCATGATTACTGCAAGTAATTTGATCCCCTGAAGATTTATACGAACATAAATATGATAGTTACCCTCGAATGATTGAAAAGTCAAAGTGTTAGTATTTATCCAAATAAACCTTAACCAAATTTCATGTTTCCTCTATTGAGGAAAGCATTTCCTAATGTGATTTTCCTGTCACGACTTATTTTCCAGTTCATTTTTCTCAGCTCACATCCTGTCACGGTACTTATCAATCTTTGTTCGTTACCAATGTTAAACAAATAACAAACAGCTAGTTTCACACACTTTACCGTTTAACATATGCCTGTCAGTGTAGGCGTAGTAACTATTTGCGTGGACTAGCTAGCTTGGGTCTATAAGCATCTAGGGTGCTCAAGCGTTCATCTTTGAAATGATCACCAAGGCCAAAAGGAAGGGACCACAAGGAATCCTCTTGTCCCACTGGAGTATGACATAATACAAGATGCTAAGTTAGAGTCCTTTGATGGCCCAGAAACTGTGCTGAGGTCGCTTATCTAAAGTAGACAAAGATTTAGATGAAGATTACACCATTGCTTTTCTAGTCTGTTATACTATAATTCAAATCAGCTGGGGGTCAGATAAGAGAAATCTGCAAGCTGAGAATGACAACAACAACAACAATCATAATGACAGTATTAGTAGTCATAAACTAAAAGCCCACACTTTAAAAATTAATAAAACTGGCCAACTGCAGTGGCTTATGCCTGTAGTCCCAGCACCTTGGGAAGGCAAGGAGACCAGATCACGAGCTCAAGAAATTGAGACCTCCCTGGCCAACACGTTGAAATCCCATCTCTACTAAAAATATACAAAAAAGCTCGCCGTGGTGGTACACACCTGTAGTCCCAGCTACGTGGGAGGTTGAGGCAGGAGAATCGCTCGAACCTGGGACGTGGAGGATGCAGTGAGCCGAGATCACACCAACGCACTCCAGGCTGGCAACGGAGTGAGACTCCGTCTCAAGAAAGGAAAAACAAACAATTTATAAAACTCATACAAAATCCTTTACCTAATAAAAGCTTACAGTACCAAAAACATAAGATTATAAGTTAGAAACATTCTATATTGCAGAAAAAGATGAATCCTACTACATGCTTCTTTATGTTACTCAGTCCAAATACTTTCTGGTCTACCTGATCATTCGTGGTGATATTTTTCACTATATGCCAATAATTACGTGCATCTTATAAAGACTTCTGACTTGACTGTTAAAACTTGAGAATACGTAGGTTTTGACTTTAAAAAAGAAATGCTGTACCATCTCAGCCTATCAACGGCATGTGTATTGGCTTCTTCAATAAAAATTCCACCATTTTCTCTTTCTTGCAAGTCACAGCGAATAAAAGTGGGGTGGTATTGTCCATTAAAAAGTAGAAAAAAAGTAATAATTCACAAAATTACATATTGCTCAACTGAACAGAAAATCTTATGTGAGGTGCTTTGAATTCATATACATAAATGTATATTATAGATTAATTATATACTAAAAATGTTAATATTAAATATATATTAAATATAAAAAATAACATTATATACTGTATACTATATATAACAATTCCAATTAACAGACAAGACAAAATAATGCATATTAACATATACAGTATTAATATATAAAATGATATATAATATATATTTCATACTATAACATTTGTTATAACTATAAGAATTATATTACATATAATTATGAACTCTCACCTGATGTATAAGATGGAGTAGTTGCAATTATTTTCAACTTCAATTTAGTATTAACTGGTCTTTTAACATAAACACTTACTTTGTCAACCCACAAGAGGGAAGTCTTCAGCCTCTCATCCACACATGTCTTGAGTAGAGCTCTTAACATTTTGCTTAAGAAGGATGTTGACAATACCTGGCGGGTCATAGTGCACAGCAAGCATGAGGGCTGTTCTACAATAACAAAGAAATCGCCCCACTCAAGAACTGTAATAAAGACTGTTTAAACAGCTAGTTTGACACACCTTACCTTTTTCACATATGCCTGTCAGTGTAGGCGTAATAACTATTTGCACGGACTAGCTAGCTTGGGTCTATAAGCATCTAGGGTGCTCAGGTGTTCATCCTTGTAAATGATCACCAAGGCTAAAAGGAAGGGACCACAAGGAATCCTCTTGTCCCACTGGGGTATGACATGATACAAGATGCTAACTGAGAGTCCTTTGATGGCCCAGAAACTGTGCTGAGGTCGCTTATCTAAAGTTGGCAAAGATTTAGATGAAGATTTCGCCATTGTTTTCCTAGTCTGATATATAATTCAAATCAGCTGGGGGTCAGATAAGAGTCATCTGCAGGCTGAAAACAACAACAACAACAATCATAATGACAATATTAGTAGTCATAAACTAAAAGCCCACACTTTAAAAATTAATAAAACTGGCCAACTGCAGTGGCTTATGCCTGTAGTCCCAGCACCTTGGGAAGGCAAGGAGACCAGATCACGAGCTCAAGAAATTGAGACCTCCCTGGCCAACACGTTGAAATCCCATCTCTACTAAAAATATACAAATAAGCTCGCCGTGGTGGTACACACCTGTAGTCCCAGCTACGTGGCAGGTTGAGGCAGGAGAATCGCTCGAACCTGGGACGTGGAGGATGCAGTGAGCCGAGATCACACCAACGCACTCCAGGCTGGCAACGGAGTGAGACTCCGTCTCAAGAAAGGAAAAAAAAAAAAAAAAATTTATAAAACTCATACAAAACCCTTAGCTTTAGCTAATAAAAGCTTACAGTACCAAAAACATCAGATTATAAGTAATAAACACTCTATATTACACGAAAAGATGAATCCTACCATATGCTCTTCTTTGTTAGTCCAAATACTTGCTGGTCTACCTGATTGTTCGTGGTGATATTTTTCACTATATGCCAATAATTACGTGCAGCTTATTAGTACTTCTGACTTGACTCTTACAACTCTAGAATAAACAGCTTTTCGCTTTAAAAAAGAACTGCTGTACAATCTCGGCCTATCAACGGCATGTGTATTTGCTTTTTCAATAAAAATTCCACCATTTTCTCTTTCTTGCAAATCACAGCGAATAAAAGTGGGGTGGTATTGTCCTATAAAACAGCAGAAAAATATTAATAATTCACAAAATTACGTATTTCTCCACTGAGCCGAGGATCTTACCTAAGATATTTTGAACTTAAAAATACAATAGAGAAAGGAAGTCAATGGAAAGCAGGCCCTTCCTTCTCACTCCTCTATGCTTTCTGACGTGCTGGTCGCTGCCTTGCAAACAACCCTCGTCTGTCTCCCCGGATTAACTGTGCTCATTGCCAAAACTCACTTTAAACATTTACCAGACCCAAGAATCCTTGCTTCGATCACAGCACTTAGCATGGTACATTGTAATCATTTCATTGTTTCCCTCTGAAACCAAGAGCTTCTTGAGGGCAAGGGCTGTATCTTTTGTCTCTATGGCCCCAAAACCCTAAGACATAGTAGCAAGTACTTTAAGTTTTTTACATAAATTAATGATCTGAATTATTCTCTCTAAAGCAGTGTTTCTTAAACTGTATTCCAAAGAATATTTGCTTTACCAGAAGTATTATACCCCAAGAGAAAGACCCCATGACCATCTGCATTTGAGGAATATTACAAAACTGTATTTTATGTCCAAGAATCAGGAAATCTCTTGAATTTTACCTGATCCCCATTTGATAATACTATTTGTGGCAAATATTAACGTTTGAGGAATGAAGAGTTTCAGAGAAACAGTTGCCAGCACTTCCCAATATAGGTGGAGGTTTCCTCTGGGTAGTACATACTTGCTTGATTCGGTTCTATCAATCGTGTCAGGATCCCAGATGCTGATGTCGGGCACTGCTGCTCCAAACGGGTGATTATAGAAATGACCTCTGAAGTAAGACTGGCTTCAAATGCACTTATTTTCCTTATTATTAAAGAGTCCATGGGTTATTTTTTCGTAATACAAGAGAGTAGATTTTTATCTTTACTGCTAGAAAGCTCAGTTTGCTCTGTGTAAGAGAGCTAGGTTTAAAAAACTTAAAAACCAGTATTTTAAAAAACCAAAGCTCACTAAGAAATACTACTCTCAATATTGTAATTGAGATTACCATGATAGGTAATCCCAGGACCCTAATGCAGCTCTACCTTTTAAATCCATTTTTATTGGCTTCCAAACTTACATGGCTATTTAAAATTACTTTTTGTTTTAGGTAAAATATAAATCAGAAATAAAAACATAATGGCTTATCAATAAAAGCTCTCATGCTGATCCATGCGGATTATTTCTAGCATGATAAAAGCCAGTAAGTTACCTGCAATTTTAAGGAAGGGTGCTGAGGAGAAAGATGTAATGTCTGCAATATTCATAAATTTTCCAACTATAACCAGGAATAACCTAAAAAGGCTTCTAGGCATTTTGATGGGCAGATGATTACTTGTGGTATATGTGAAGAAAAGAGTTTTAAAAACTTCTAAATTCTAAAATTCAACTCCATAACGGAGGGATTTATAGGCCCTCTAGACTACATGTTATAAGCAAATACATGCTGACTTTAAAAACTTGAAATCTTTATCAACATATACTACAACATAAAAGTTGTAAACTCAAATACTTATAAGGACAAAGGAAGGTTACCTGAGTAAGGGAAGTACTGAGGTGGGCACAGTAGCAAACTGGAGAATGCATGCCTTCCATAAAGGGGTGACCTCTGCACAGCAGACCAAACAGTGATAGAAACTCAGGGGACACCAGGTTTGATTTTTTTTTAGGATAAGCCTGAAGTCCCGATTTCCACACGAGTCTTCTAAATTGCACATGTCGATTCAACTTATAGAGGCAAACAAATCCGTGTACCACATTAGGATATAGCCCTCGTGTTTTTATATTTGCTATAAATGTGTTACTAAATCGTTGTGTATAATCCAAGTATTGGCACGTCAAATATTTTCTTTCTCTAGTGTCATATGTTTTACCAAAAACTCAGGCTCTCGTATACAGTAAAAATGGCTAAAAAGACTCATAATAATACTTGCTTCAAGCATTTTCCCAACATTTATTCATTTAAAATGTATTTGTATATAATTTTCCCAGATCGTTAACCAAATAGGTCATTGGTTCACAGGACGGCTAAAACTAAACTATTGTAAGAATCCCTATCTGTATTCTTAATAGCTTCATGGATTTCAGTGTTTAAAACTGACATTTTGGTTATGCTAAAGCTCTATAAACTTAACAAATATACTGAGATAGTTCATTATACACCTTCAACCAAAAAGAAATAGTTTAGGATTTGCTACTATTCTAATTGAGAAAGTCCAACTTGTAATGAGCATCTGTTGAGACACAATCACCTGCATGGTGACAAAAGGACACCAAATCCTGAAAGGGTCAGCCTCTACCTATTGAAAGATTACCCATAAGCAAATTTCTAAGGACTCTCTGAATGGTAGTGAATGACTAATGGTGGGAAGGAAAAGGTGTTATTCTGTAAGCTGAGAGATGTTGCCAATACTATTTCCTTTCACGTCCCAGTCACAGGTGTAGAGAAAGAGAAGTCTTGAAAAGCAGATTGAAAAGGAGAACTTTGAAGGAAGTAGCACCTATCAAATGCCAACTCTTCTAACATTTTAGAGATACAGAAATTTGTATATTGCACTTACCTATTCTGGGTTTCTTAATCAGGAGTATATCCGAAACTTGAGGGTTTTGCTATTGCTTGTTTGTTTGTTTTGGCTGTTGTTGTTAAGAGACAGGTGTCCCACTATGTTGCTCGAGCTGGACTCAAAATCATTTGTAGCATTTTAAAAATTATCTTACTGATAACATAAAATAATGGGGCATCACACAATCCACGTCTCTTACTCGTGTCGGGGTGAGTTTCTGCCTCTGGAGACCCAGCTGCAGTCGCTCCACGCACCAAGCCAATCCCTGGGCCAACTGCTTGTACCTGTGACGGATTTGGGGGCAGCGGCTGTGAGAGGGCGCTGGGACACAACACAACGCCCGGCCCCACTCCATCCCCCTCCCAGCCTTAACTCAGCGGACCCGTGGATCACACGTGCCCGTGGATTCGCACCGGGGGATTCCACCCTTCCCGACTGACACCTGCCGTTGCCTGAGCCTCAGCGCTTACGGGAACTTCCTCTGGGGCGGGCTTCTCTGAGGCCTTCTCGCCTCCATTTGCCACCGAGGCCCTGTTCCGGGTTTTCTTCCTCTTCTTTTGCGCCTTCATCGCCTAACGGGTGCGCTATGGGGTCCGCGTTACTGCGCAGGGGTTGCCCTGGGCAGAGACAGACAGTGGAAGGATTCCCGGCGCTGGAAACCGGGCCGGGAAGCCGGCGTCTGCGGGAGGCGCAGAGTACCGGGGCCTGGGGCCCACGCTGCCTCCCCGGCATGAGGTCCTAGGGCCTGGAGGAAGGGGGGCAGCACAAGGGTGCCGGAGGGCCGCCGCAGTGCAAGGCCCCGCCACCCGCGCGTCTTCTCCACACCGCTCGCCGCCATGCGTCGCAGTCGCCTCCGGAACTACGCGGGGCTCCGAGTCCGACGCCGAATTCCGTCCTCCGGAAACGCGTCTGCGACTCTAGGTTCCGCAGGGCCGCAGGCGGAGCGGGGCGCGGGGTCCACGAGGGGAAGGGGCGAGGCTGGGGCGGGGTCAAGCTGGGGCGGGGCGGGGAGAGGCAGGGCAAAACCCAGATACACTGTATCAAAATCTAAACTTTAAAGCCTTAAAGGTGATTCACACGCACGTTAACAATTGTTAGGTGGCAGTGATTCTATATTTGAAAGGGAAATGGATATATGGCTGTATTGATTTGTCAGAAAGGCAAAGACTGTATGTTTCAATGCATATACATCTTATCTTACAGAAAATGAACACAACAATAAAGTGGGTGTGGGGAAGGAGCTGAACCAGAAATTAAACAGAAATGAGACAGAATTAGTAGATGTTGAGGCTGAGCATCAGCCTATTACACTATTTTGGACATTGTGTGTAAGAATTTAAAACATGCTCCAATAAAACACTAGTATAAAAAAGAAAAGCCATCTAGAACACTAGCTCTTAGGCTTGTGCTTACATTTGGGGAGGAGGAAGAGGAAATAGTTGGTGGACAAAAACAAAGGTATTTCCATTCTATAGTTACACTAATGTATTAGCTTTGTTATAATTTTTTGAGCATTACATTAATACTTTATTGTGGATGTACGTCTGTATGCATGCTATACATCAATAAAAATTTAAATCTTACATACTTAATCCTAACTTAATAGTTCAGAATACTAGCAACGTTATTATGTTTGAATAGTTTCTTGAAACAGTCTTACTCTGTCGCCAGGCTGGAGTGCAGTGGCGCGAGTTGGGCTCACTGCCACCTCTGCCTCCCGGGTTCACGCGATTCTCCTGCCTCAGGCCCCACCAGTAGCTGGCACTGCAGGTGCCCCCCACCACGCCCAGCTAATTTTTTGTATTTTTAGTAGAGACGGGGTTTCACTATGTAAGCCAGGATGGTCTCCGTCTCCTGTCCTCGATCCACCCGCCTTGGCCTCCCAAAGTGTTGCGATTACAGGCGTGACAGTCCTCCATTTTTTACCTCAGTTGAGTAAGCAGCATGGTTTTAGTTTTGGGGAATGCAATTTCGTACAGCAAAGTCATTCCTCCATAATAATATAAGAGTGTGTGTGTGTGTGTGTGTATAAAATATATATTAAATCTACGTTTAATATACATTAACATATAAACATATTAAATATATATAAATTGTGTATTAAATAATAAATATGTATTAATATTAAATAATAAATATATTAATTACATATTGTATATTATATATTATATAGTATACATTATATTATATATTACTACATATTAATATATAGTAATAATATAGTAATACATAAATATATAACATATTAATATATATTTTTATATAGATATATATTTTAAATATACATATATATATATAATCTCCTTAAAATAGATTACCTAATTGTCTCCTATCACTGAGCACATCAATCACACCAAAGGGAGAAAACTAACGGGTATCAAAACCTGGCTTGAACAACTATGATTTCTTTTCTACCTCCTCAAACTCTGGGCCAGCAGATCCGTGCTAGGATGCTGGATCTCCATGGTCCTCTCCAACTAACAGACAAGACAAAACCCTGCTTTTATTGTTTTTCAGTTCCATGAAGGCAAGGCAAGTTCACATTTTCACATTTCCAAGACATGGACCAACAACATGTAACATCCCCTTGTTACTCAGTTCTGCTCTCATTTCAGGGATCACCAGCTTTCTGGCTAAAAGGTAGACTAACTCTCATTGCTATTTCAAACTACCAGAACCAAACTATGAACTCTCACCTGATGTATAAGATGGAGTAGTTGCAATTATTTTCAACTTCAATTTAGTATTAACTGGTCTTTTAACATAAACACTTACTTTGTCAACCCACAAGAGGGAAGTCTTTGGCCTCTCATCCACACATGTCTTGAGTAGAGCTCTTAACATTTTGCTTAAGAAGGATGTTGACAATACCTGGCGGGTCATAGTGCACAGCAAGCATGAGGGCTGTTCTACAATAACAAAGAAATCGCCCCACTCAAGAACTGTAATAAAGACTGTTTAAACAGCTAGTTTGACACACTTGACCGTTTTCACATATGCCTGTCAGTGTAGGCGTAATAACTATTTGCACGGACTAGCTAGCTTGGGTCTATAAGCATCTAGGGTGCTCAGGTGTTCCTCCTTGTAAATGATCACCAAGGCTAAAAGGAAGGGACCACAAGAAATCCTCTTGTCCCACTGGGGTATGACATAATACAAGATGCTAACTGAGAGTCCTTTGATGGCCCAGAAACTGTGCTGAGGTCGCTTATCTAAAGTTGGCAAAGATTTAGATGAAGATTTTGCCATTGCTTTCCTAGTCTGATATATAATTCAAATCAGCTGGGGGTCAGATAAGAGTTATCTGCAGGCTGAAAACAACAACAACAACAATCATAATGACAATATTAGTAGTCATAAACTAAAAGCCCACACTTTAAAAATTAATAAAACTGGCCAACTGCAGTGGCTTACGCCTATAATCTCAGCACCTTGGGAAGCCAAGGAGACCAGATCATGTGGTCAAGAGATTGCGACCACCCTGGCCAACACGGTGAAATCCCATCACTGCTAAAAATACACAAATAAGCTGGCCGCAGTGGTACACACCTGTAGTCCCAGCTACGTGGGAGGCTGAGGCAGGAGAATCGCTTGAACCTGGCAGGTGGAGGTTGCAGTGAGCCGAGATCACACCACTGCACTCCAGGCTGGCAACGGAGTGAGACTCCGTCTCAAGAAAGGAAAAAAAAAAAAAAAAAAAAATTTATAAAACTCATACAAAACCCTTTAGCTAATAAAAGCTTACAGTACCAAAAACATCAGATTATGAGTAACAAACACTCTATATTACACGAAAAGATGAATCCTACCATATGCTCTTCTTTATGTTACTCAGTCCAAATACTTGCTGGTCTACCTGATTGTTCGTGGTGATATTTTTCACTATATGCCAATAATTACGTGCAGCTTATTAGTACTTCTGACTTGACTCTTACAACTCTAGAATAAACAGCTTTTCGCTTTAAAAAAGAACTGCTGTACAATCTCGGCCTATCAACGGCATGTGTATTTGCTTTTTCAATAAAAATTCCACCATTTTCTCTTTCTTGCAAATCACAGCGAATAAAAGTGGGGTGGTATTGTCCTATAAAACAGCAGAAAAAAATTAGTAATTCACAAAATTACATATTTCTCCACTGAGCCGAGGATCTTACCTAAGATGTTTTGAACTTAAAAATACAATAGAGAAAGGAAGTCAATGGAAAGCAGGCCCTTCCTTCTCACTCCTCTATGCTTTCTGACGTGCTGGTCACTGCCTTGCAAACAACCCTCGTCTGTCTCCCCGGATTAACTGTGCTCATTGCCAAAACTCACTTTAAACATTTACCAGACCCAAGAATCCTTGCTTCGATCACAGCACTTAGCATGGTACATTGTAATCATTTCATTGTTTCCCTCTGAAACCAAGAGCTTCTTGAGGGCAAGGGCTGTATCTTTTGTCTCTATGGCCCCAAAACCCTAAGACATAGTAGCAAGTATTTTAAGTTTTTTACATAAATTAATGATCTGAATTATTCTCTCTAAAGCAGTGTTTCTTAAACTGTATTCCAAAGAATATTTGCTTTACCAGAAGTATTATACCCCAAGAGAAAGACCCCATGACCATCTGCATTTGAGGAATATTACAAAACTGTATTTATGTCCAAGAATCAGGAAATCTCTTGAATTTTACCTGATCCCCATTTTGTGCCATACTATTTGTGGCAAACATTAACGTTTGAGGAATGAAGAGTTTCAGAGAAACAGTTGCCAGCGCTTCCCAATATAGGTGGAGGTTTCCTCTGGGTAGTACATACTTGCTTGATTCGGTTCTATCAATCGTGTCAGGATCCCAGATGCCGATGTCAGGCACTGCTGCTCCAAACGGGTGATTATAGAAATGACCTCTGAAGTAAGAGAGACTGGCTTCAAATGCACTTATTTTCCTTATTATTAAAGAGTCCATGGGTTATTTTTTCCTAATACAAGAGAGTAGATTTTTATCTTTACTGCTAGAAAGCTCAGTTTGCTCTGTGTAAGAGAGCTAGGTTTAAAAAACTTAAAAACCAGTATTTTAAAAAACCAAAGCTCACTAAGAAATACTACTCTCAATATTGTAATTGAGATTACCATGATAGGTAATCCCAGGACCCTAATGCAGCTCTACCTTTTAAATCCATTTTTATTGGCTTCCAAACTTACATGGCTATTTAAAATTACTTTTTGTTTTAGGTAAAATATAAATCAGAAATAAAAACATAATGGCTTATCAATAAAAGCTCTCATGCTGATCCATGCGGATTATTTCTAGCATGATAAAAGCCAGTAAGTCACCTGCAATTTTAAGGAAGGGTGCTGAGGAGAAAGATGTAATGTCTGCAATATTCATAAATTTTCCAACTATAACCAGGAATAACCTAAAAGGCTTCTAGGCATTTTGATGGGCAGATGATTACTTGTGGTATATGTGAAGAAAAGAGTTTTAAAAACTTCTAAATTCTAAAATTCAACTCCATAACGGAGGGATTTATAGGCCCTCTAGACTACATGTTATAAGCAAATACATGCTGACTTTAAAAACTTGAAATCTTTATCAACATATACTACAACATAAAAGTTGTAAACTCAAATACTTATAAGGACAAAGGAAGGTTACCTGAGTAAGGGAAGTACTGAGGTGGGCACAGTAGCAAACTGGAGAATGCATGCCTTCCATAAAGGGGCGACCTCTGCACAGCAGACCAAACAGTGATAGAAACTCAGGGGACACCAGGTTTGATTTTTTTTAGGATAAGCCTGAAGTCCCGATTTCCACACGAGTCTTCTAAATTGCACATGTCGATTCAACTTATAGAGGCAAACAAATCCGTGTACCACATTAGGATATAGCCCTCGTGTTTTTATATTTGCTATAAATGTGTTACTAAATGG